GGAATTGTGATATTAAAAAGAAAGCCATTCATTAATAATAACTGTTTTCAGGCAAGAAGCATCAATGGGTGCTTTTGTGGGTGAAAATTTCATGAGGAAAAAAAGAATTATGGAGTCTCAGAGAACTACCCCCTAAGATACTTGATATTTTACAAACAACTAAATAAAAATAACTGTAGAGTAGAGAATCCTAGTGGATAACACCCCAAGCAGGTGGAAGTCCTCATTACCAGTAATGGGACAAATCAATCATTCCTCCCCAACATCACACACACACACACACACACACACACACACACACACACACACACACGATACATGATGGGAGGAGGTCTGGAAGAGGAGCTAAGAGTACTGGCAGTAGAAGACAGAGAAAGGCCTTACATTGCCCCTTTTCTGGCCATGCATAGACCACCAATATTGGGCCTAAGGGAACTGCATAATTCTCTAGGATAGATAAGAAAGGGAAATATCTCTTTCCATTTAGTATTTCTTCTGAGCACTAGGTAGTTCTGAGAAGTCCCTCTTGCCCACAGCCTGACTAGGTACAATGAGGGACTAGAGTTCCAGGAAGCCACTTCACCAGGTCATCGATGGCATCTTTCACTGCTGTTATGGACACCACCACCATCAGGGGTATCACAGTTGGATACCATGCCAAGGAGGAGATCTGGGGAATCACCTGAGAGAGGGAAAGGGAGAGAACCTTGAGTCAGAAAACTCAAATAATATATTTCCCCCAACCTTTCACCCCACTACCATTTTTACCTCCACAGGCTCATAGCAAATCCAACTATCCTAGCTGTAGCCTTCATCATAGAAGCTTTCATGTAACCCCCAAAATATAAGTAAATATTTTCCATGGAAGAATAATGGGGGAAAAAGCTATAAGTTGCCACCTATCTTTCCTGAACTCTACTATCTTTGTCTTGATGGCAAAGGACCATTTATCCCTGATAATGAAAGGTAATGGGAGTGGGGAGGTGAGAGTGGACAGGGAAAACCAAGTGCTGTCCCATACTCTTCAGCACAAGGAGAACGAGATGATCTGTCCCTCTCTTCCAATTTTTGGGGCTATCCTACGCTGCTTCCTTTGTGCTGGCACTCATATTCTAAGCCATTCTCCTTCCTCAGCACTCTTGCATATTTATTTTCTATCAGGAAGCCTGGGACAAGAAAGAGGAATAGAGTTGTAGTTGAGGTGAAGAATCTGTGGCCCCCTATGGTCAGGCTGAACTGTGGTCATGCAGCCAGGATGAGTAGTTCCCCTTCCTTGGGATTTGGTGACTTTGTCTCCTTCCTCTTGTAAAGGCTTGTTTCACACTGGCTAATCCCAACCACAACTACTCAGAGGAACTGGCCTAAGACACCAGACATCCATTTGCCTGTTTTCTAAGGAGAGAAGACATCTCTCAATTTAGAGAGGAGAAAAACTGATTATACAGCCTGATCTCAGAGAGGTTGATAAAAAACTCTCTGGAAAAGGTCCCAAAGGCAATACCTGTAGAAACAGCAAAATGAGGAAATATATATTTGCAAGTCTCTGGAACTGTTCAAACAGGTTCAGGGGCAGGAAGTTAACAACATTATATTTTGAGGTCTTGATGGTATTGTTCTGTGAGTTAAAAGAAAGCAAAAAAAAAAAAAAAAAAGTACAGTTAGAGAAATAAAAGATAGCTCAAAATTGGGTTCATAGGCAGCTGCCCCAACCTGCCAGTCTTAACAAAAAGTGAAGACCACTCAGTGACATGAGAAAAAAGCCACCAAAGTTCCCCCCACCACAAGGAGGGAGAAAGGGAAGAAGTGTCTAATTTCTCCCTTTTCCTTGAGGGCTAGAGGATTGAAATATGGCATAGCTGCTCTATATGGTACTTTCTTTGGGGGCAGAATGTATCTCTGCCCCTGACAGAGTTGTTTGGTGATGTTATTGATAATAATAATGATAATCCATTTAACAACAATAAAACTAATATTTATTGAGTCCTTACTATGTGCAAGGCTCTGTTCTAAGCATTTTATATATAGCAACCCAATTAATCCTCACACCAACCCTATGAGGTAAGTACGATATGATCACTTTTTGAGGATGAGGAAACCGAGGCACTGAGTCCAGAGTTGTCTAATAAAGCTTTTGTTGTTGTTGTTCTGGCAAACTCAATTTGGTGTGCCATTATGTATTGCTTTCCATGTTAAAGGATGTCAGATGCTGAAAGCAAACAACTGTCTTTCAACCCTTATCCACTGAAGGTTCCTACACTGATCACTGTCAGCAATGGATATCACTTGGCCCCTAATTCTCCTAAGAGGATCTGAATAGTTTTGGTCTACATCTAAACTATTATTTTACTGAGTGAAAATGGAAACTTATCTACCTTCTCAATCCTGACCTCAAGATGTTGACAGGACATCTTACTTTCTACCTTTGGGTCTTCAATGGTTTATCCTAAGAAGTCAGAGCTTAAACCTAAGAGCTCAAGAAAAACAGAAGAATAAGGCCAAATAATTCCTTAAAGACAGAGCTTCTCTCTTATCTCCTTCATCTGTGAGACCAGAACAAAAGAATAAACTCAACTGCAAACCTGGAGTACAAATACTTCTCAAGCACAAAGAATCTTGCCTGGCTCTGTCTTGGGAGGGCATCAAAATCCTTCTCTTGGAGAATTTAAACCATTCATTTCTAAAACCAGAACTTGAATCTTGGGTCTTCACCCAGGAAGTTAGAAAGGCAACCCAGACATGTCTTGCCCAAGGTCTATTTCCCTAGGGAAAAGAAGCTGATCAAACAACTTAGCACTTGATCCAAGTTTAGGGATCCAAGATGAAACTAAGATCTCCTTGGTGTTTCTCCATAATTTTCCAATTAATAATCAAATACTACAGCATTTCTCAAAGCTTGCTTTGTTCACAGCCCTATGCTGGGCTATACTAGTGGAGGCCGAAAAGAATTAGACAGGATCTATCCTGGATGAGCTCGTAAGTCTGTCTTGAAGGCAGTTCTAATGGAATGATCTCTAGGGGCCCTTTTTTTTGTCCTGAGAGTATATTATTCTAACATAGAAATACCATTTTTTAAAAACATAAGATACTCTGAATTTCTCAGTATCTAAGTCTAGATGGGTCTGATTCTTGGATCCAAAGATCTTCTGAGAAATGGCCTTACTGAAACAGCTGGCCCTCACTGTTACTTTCCATCATATTTTATAGCCAATGAATGTACGTTATGATTCTATTCACCTGGGTAGTATCTTGCCTCAAGATAGAGGTACCAGTATTTCTTTACTAACTTGACTAGAGTGTTTTGTTTTATCCTTTTTTTTTTTTTTTTTTTTTTTTTTT